CGGGCATAAATCTGATATACAAGCGCAACCAACAAAACAGACATATAACCTAGACAAGGATGTTAATATTCTCCTGTACCTGCTTTATATGTATAAAGTTTTTAAATGTGGAAGGAGTAATCAGAGTTGCAAATAACTATAGAACACATTTTCAGTCATGTCAGGATAATAATCAGAATATTTCTAACGGAGAAATAAAATATTACTGCCTAGCGAGCAGATAAATTTAATTTCAAGTTAGTTTTCAGCATTGATTTCAATGGAAATTTCCGTAATTCGTGTGGCGAGAGCGTCAGGTCATATTGTGGATAAGGTCAATACCCGCCTTGAACCCAATTAACCTGGTGACCACGCTGGGCGGAGTCCAAATACCCTTTTGGTCTGACTTATACACCTATGGCTTTTACAACACACTCACGCTGACCTTCACACTATGTTGTCATCTACATGTAACACAGTGTTGCCACCATCATCCTAATATAACGTCGCATTTTGACGTTTACTCTAAGGCCAAAAATTGTCGTACTAGAAAATGGTAGCGTCTCGCGAAAATGACATACTGTCTCGTTTTATGTTTTGGGGGGTCCGTCTAATTACCACAAGCTACCACAAACTACACAAACTTCAGAAAGCTTCCTGGCAATACGTTAGTAATGAATAAATATGATATATTAAGTTAGGCTGACCTAACCTAACCTAACCTAACCTAACCTATCCTAACCTATCCTAACCTAACCTAACCTAACCTAACCTAACTTAACGGGTCCGTCTAATTACCACAAGCTACCACAAACTACACAAACTTCAGAAAGCTTCCTGGCAATACGTTAGTAATGAATAAATATGATATATTAAGTTAGGCTGACCTAACCTAACCTAACCTAACCTAACCTATCCTAACCTATCCTAACTTAACCTAACCTAACCTAACCTAACCTAACTTAACCAAACCTAACCTAACCTAACCGAAGCTTGGATCGTCGACTTGATTTGGCGTCACCAGCTTTTTATTTTCGTCTAATTTCTTTATAAAAAGATACTTTTTCAGATTAAAATTATGTTTTTTCGTGTTGTACATTCAGCACCAACATTATAATGAGTAAATATATCATATTTATTCATGAATAAATATGATATATTTACTCATTATAATGTTGGTGCTGAATGTACAACACGAAAAAACATAATTTTAATCTGAAAAAGTATCTTTTTATAAAGAAATGAGACGAAAATAAAAAGCTGGTGACGCCAAATCAAGTCGACGATCCAAGCTTCGGTTAGGTTAGGTTAGGTTTGGTTAAGTTAGGTTAGGTTAGATTAGGTTAGGTTAGGTTCGGTTAGGTTAGGTTAGGATAGGTTAGGATAGGTTAGGTTAGGTTAGGTTAGGTCAGCCTAACTTAATATATCATATTTATTCATTACTAACGTATTGCCAGGAAGCTTTCTGAAGTTTGTGTAGTTTGTGGTAGCTTGTGGTAATTAGACGGACCCCCGGTCGAGGCAGAAACAAATTAATAGTTTCTTTCACCTGATGCCCATGTTCGCCTAGCAGAAAATAGGTACATGGAAGTTGGACAGCTGATACGGGCTGCATCCTGGCGATGTGTGTGTGTATTTACTATTTGTGCCTGCAGGATCGAGGGGGAATTATCAGGGAAAGCGCCAAGCCATTATGGCTATATAGCACTTGGAAGGGATTAGGATAAGGATTTGGGATTGGACAGGGGAAAGTGGTTGGCCTGTAGTGCCCAATCATTTGGACGGTTGGGGATTGAACGCCGACCTGTATGAAGCAAGACCGTCGCTCTACCGTCCAGTTCAACCTCCAGCCCAAGAGGTTGGACATGGCTGTTAGCTCTTGGACCACGCCTGTGTGTAATTACCCAAGCGTAGTTACAGGATGAGAACTACGCAAAAGTGGGAATGAACGAGCAGATGTGCTGGCTGCTGAAGGCGCTGAAGGAGACCATATTGAATACTTCATACCCAAGACTCTACTACAAATTAGAGGTATTGTCAGGCAACATCACCGTGACAAAGTAACTGAGGAAAGGAGGATTGAAGCACAAACCAGTGAATCTGTACGATGGTACAACATGGTTGCAGCTGACAATCCCAATCATTATGGACGAAGAGGTGGACGCGGGAGGGAGTCAGTAATAGAAAGAATCCGTCTTGGATACAAATATCCATGGAGATACGGAATGGACACAACTGTTGATCAGCGAAGTTGCAGAATCTGTGATGAGACAACAGATAAGTGGCGCTGCCCAATAAACTCGCCCCTCGGGGCAAAATTAAAAAATTAAAATGAACGTTCTAATGTTTTTTCCTGCAGCTTTGTTTCCCTAATTTGAGCCCAAGTCCTCTTCTTCATGAAGTTGCAGTTTTCAAAATTTATTTAACAAATTTCTAGATTTCTGTCACTATTTTGTACGTAGTGATCGTATCACCTTCTTTTCTTCTATCTTCTAGCTTTGGCATATTTAACACCTCTAGCCTCTCCTCCTACCTCTTGTTTTTCAGATCCGGAAGCCATTTAGCTGCATGTGTATGTGCTCACCTAGTTGTGCTTGCGAAGGTTGAGCTCTGGCTCTTTGGTCCCGCCTCTCAATTGTCAATGTACAGATTCCTGAGCCTACTGGGCTCTATCATAACTATATTTGAAACTGTATGGAGTCAGCCTCCACCACACCACTACCAAATGTATTCCATCTGTTAACTACTCTGACACTGACGTTCTTTCTAACGTCCCTGTGGCTCATTTGCGTACTCAGCTTCCCCCCTGTGTCCCCCTTGTGCGTGTACAACCCGTGTTAAATAATCCATCATTGTCTACCCTGTCAATTCCTCTGAGATTTTTGTATGTGGTGATCATGTCTCCCCTTTTCTGTCTTCCAGTGACGTGAGGTGCAATTCGTGCAGCCTTTCCTCATAACTCATGCCCCTTAAGTCTGGGACTAGTCTAGTGGCATACCTCTGAACTTTTTCCAGCTTCGTCTTGCGCTTGACAAGCTATGGGCTCCATGCTGGGGCCACATACTCCAGTATTGGCCTTACATATGTGATATACAAGGTTCTGAAGGATTCCTTACACAGGTTTCTGAAGGCCAGCCTGATGTTAGTCAGCCTCGCACACGCCGCCGATGTTATTCTTTTGATGTGGGCTTCAGGACACAGGTTTGGCGTGATATCAACTCCTAGATCTTTCTCTTTGTCCGTTTCGCGAAGAATTTATTTCATTTCGAACTTCCGTTTTCGTGAAGAACGTCACGCAGTGTGTGTGTGTGTGTGTGTACTCACCTATTTGTGCTTGCGGGGTTTGAGCTCTGGCTCTTTGGTCTCGCCTCTCAACTGTCAATTAACTGGTGTACAGGTTCCTGAGCCTATTGGACTCTATCATATCTACACTTGAAACTGTGTATGGAGTCAGTCTCCACCACATCACTTCCTAATGCATTCCATTTGTCAACTACTTTCACACTAAAAAAAAATCTTTCTAATATCTCTATGACTCATTTGAGCACTCAATTTCCACCTGAGTCCCCTAGTGCATGTGCCCCTTGTGTTAAATAGCCTGTCTTTATCTACCCTGTCAATTCCTTTGAGAATCTTATACGTGGTGATCACATCCCCCCTAACTCTTCTGTCGTCTAGCGACGTGAGGTTTAATTCCCGTAGCCTCTCCTCGTAGCTCATACCTCTCAGCCCGGGTACTAGTCTGGTGGCAAACCTTTGAACTTTTTCCAGTTTAGTCTTATGCTTGACTAGATATGAACTCTATGCTGAGTATGCTGAGGCTGCATACTCCAGGATTGGTCTGACATAGGTGGCATACAAAGTTCTGAATAATTCCTTGCACAAGTGTCTAAATGCCGTTCTTATGTTGGCCAACCTGACATATGCTGCTGATGTTACCCTCTTGATATGGGCTTCAGGGGACACGTGTGTGTGTGTGTGTGTACTCACCTAGCTGTGCTTGCGAGGGTTGAGCTCTGGCTCTTTGGTACCGCCTCTCAACTGGTGTCAATCAACTGGTGTACAGATTACCGAACCTACTCGGGCTCTTATCATATCTACTTTTGAAAATGTGTATGGAGTCAGCCTCCACCACATCACCGCCTAATGCATTCCGTCTGTTTACTCTGACACTGAAAAAGTTCTTTCTAACGTCCCTGTAGCTCATTTGGGTACTCAAGTTTCCACCTGTGTCCACTTGTTCGTGTACCACCCGTGTTAACAGTTTATTCTTGTCTACCCTGTCAATTCCTCTGAGAATTTTGTAGGTAGTGATCATATCTTCCCTTACTCTTGTCTTCCAGAGTCGTGATCCAGGTGCATTTCACGCAGCCTTTCCTCGTAATTCATGCCTCTTAGTTTTGGGATTAGCCTAGTGGCATACCTCTGAACTTTTTCCAGTGTTTGTGTGTGTGTATGAAGAAAGTAACACGTTATACAACAACGGTTAAATAACTGTAAGCATCGAATTTCACGGAAACAAAATTTTGGACAGGTGCCTAATTGTAGGTTTTGTTATCACAGCTTTATTACTGATAGATACATTTTTCTTTCATGCAATATACACAATCATAAAATACCGACCCACGCACATTAATGCACTTAGAAGGAAAATATATGTAGCATGAGCAACGCACACATGTAGCGAGCATGAGCAACATGCGCAAGGCTTCTCATAAAGTCTGGCCATGGGGTACAGTAGAGATCTATCTATAAATAAATAAATATTCCGTATTTTTACGATCTCACAAGCCAACTGTAAACAAACCAGTACAACATGCACGTGACGTGGCAACATACACACACACATGCCATCCAACATAATTATATGCACACGCAGAGCAATATGTACGCAGCACGAGCAACAAGGCAACTCTTGGTACCATTACACCTGGTGAGGGTGTAGGAGGAGGCCAGCCACCACCAAGGTCGAGCAGCCAACACCCGAGAGAGAGGGAGAGAGAGAGATAGAGAGAGCGTAGTGTAGTGGAGGGTGTGACACACAGTGTGGCTGGTCCAGGGTGTAAGTTGGATGTAAACAATATCACATGTGCAGCGTGCGGCACGGGGGGCGGCGGCCAATCAGCGCCGCCCGTCCCCCACACTCAGCCAATCACCGCCCGCTGATCACGTGATGGAAACCAACTCAAAACATCGCCAGGGCAGCAGACGATCAGTGATGTCTAGACCAGTGACTGGGAGGGAGGCTGTTCGTCACGGGAGTCAGTAACACAAGTTCACAATGAGTCTTAACAGGGATACCTTAATCCATCTGTTTGCAGGCGGGTAAGCCCTATAATTTTGCCTCAAGTCTCCAGGAGATGAGTGGACATGTGGGAGTGGAGCTTTCCACCCGTGTGGCCGCGTGAGCCCAAGCACGCTGTTGTATTCTCTTCAATAACCTATAAAAACCAAGCTAGTGAATAAAACTAGAAACGTTTTAGAGGTTGCGAAACGTTTTGTCATGGCTTGAAGAGTGGAGAATAAAATGTATCGTTAAACACTATGGCTAACGTACTGGGCTATGGGCACGACCTCGCGGGTGAAAACAGGTTTATTGAACGGGAGTCAGCAAGGGCCAAGGCCTGTGAAGGCCTCGCCGGGATGTTGTGTTGCATGCTGTTATCATGCTTCGTATACCCATTGTGTGGGCAGTTGTGACAGTTTAAAAATAAAAGTAATCTTTTGCTCATTCTGTTGGTAGTAAATAGTTAAAGATCCAGAGCCCTCAAGTCGACTGTGTGACTTGTGCAGAGATTTGACTTTTTTAATGAATGAATAATGAACTCATATATAATGACGTCAGGAAATGGACCCAGACGTTCATTAAATTTAACAAATTTGTGATTAACTGCATTAGTTATAATTGCATAACAATTGGCAGTGATAAATTTTTGCAGCATTTATTAAAGTGGCATAAAGTTTTGGGACACTATCAAATCTTACTATGTGGATTTTTAATGAAATATTTGTGCCTGGTTTGGCATTAATTGTTTGCTCTTGGACAATAAATTAATTGGCCTTCTCCTTTTGAGTGTATCAAAATAATGGGCCACATCATAATCCTTATTCCAATATATTCTCAATCCCAAGGATAGGTAATGGCTCTAGGTTTGCAATTTATTATTTTTTCTGATGTGTGTATTGGACCAACACAAATTAATATCTGGATGCACATTTTAAGGGTACAGTGCTTAAATATGAAACGTGTTTATAAGTTGAGGACCCACTGTAACTAATAATCCTTGTTAATAGCACAGTATCTATAATTTTTAAATATTGCTTGGGATGTCGGTGTGATGGACATACTGGTAAGGGTGAAACGCTAGACAATCCAGTATTACTTAAATATGCTGCTATGTAGATATTTTGTACATCAATTTAGAATACTGTACTAGTTTTGTCAATTAGTTATTTTTAACAATACAGTATTTGGCATCATATTTGGTTCACTCTCTTCAACCTTCATGTATTTTTGACCACTGTATCATAGGTGTTATTTAAAAATTTTTAAGAGGACTATCTTTAATATGAAGTGATCTGTAGGCCTATTCATGTTGACTGTACAAAATTGTAGCTTGTCTTTCAAAATGACCTAAATAAAATGAGCTATGAATGTTAAAATAATCTTTGTACAGTATGTCAGTGGGTTAAAAAAAAAACTTAAACTTACTATATAAACTATATGCAAGTTTGTAAAATAAAGCAACCTACTAATATTTTGGGTTGATATTTTACACTACAGTACCATTCCTTATTTTGAAGGGTTGCATAGCAATACTAAATAAACCTAACCTTACCTAAATAAACATTTTATTTTATTTTTATTTTTATACTACTTTAAAGGCAGTAATTCTAGGGCTACATTTTTTTCATTTTGGATACTGAATCTTTTTCTGATGGAGAGAAAAGTGAGTGACAATTTGGTTAGTTTTTATTCTTAATTTTAATCAAACCTAATCCTGTACCTGTACAACAAAATCTAATGGAACACAAGCCCCCAAAATGAAGCAGTGTTTAGTAGGGCTAGGCTTTTATGGAAATTTAGGATAGACCTACCTATGTCTTTATGCTGCTACAATAGTAGTGAATTTAAATGAATGCTGTACAGAAGAAATAAAATTCCCACAGACCATTGTATCCAAATTAGGCAATTTCTTCTTTGACAAGAGTATTGGAGTCTGTTACAGAACTATCAGATTGTAAATTGCACTGACCAGTGCATTAAAAGACGCCTTAAAATGTAGATATAAGAGCCAAGTAGATTTCATCTTTCTCCTCTCCATCTTGAGGAGCATGCTTCGCTTTAACTTCTGCCCAGTCCCATAGTTCAAATCTTGTTGGCTAGGGTGCCCTTGTGGTGAATCTCTCATTTTTCCAATGCTTCAATGTACAGTACGTCCAGAGAAATATGTTGGTCTGAACCTGTGAGTAAACAGGTATGCAAATCTTCCTATTTTGATGACCTCTGGCTTTTTCTCTTGGAATATTGCCACCAGACCATTACTATTTCTTATACCGATGAATACAATTGGTTTATGTTAGAAATGGCACCAATTCAAGAACCACACTCCTACATATTCAATTTCCTCTCTAGTCATGATAGTTAAAAACTAACTTTTTCTTATTGGCAAGAAAGTTTTGCATGCCTTTACCTAATTTAACCTTGCTACTCTTAATAATGTGCATACTGTATTTTCAAATTGCAAATACAATGGGGCCTCGACTTACGTTGGTAATCCGTTCCCAGAGACGGGTCGTAAGTTGAAATATCGTAAGTCGAAGCGATTTTTCCCATGAGAAATAAAGGGAATTGAATTAATCCGTTCCCTACCCTCCAAAATATTGACTTGCAAATACATTTTATACTGAATACAATTTTGTTCTCTAACTACAATACAGTACAAATGTTTATCTTGCCTTTATGGAGGACCCTTGATGGTGTCTGGAAGATGGTGAGGAGGGGAGAGGAGAGGTGTTACTGTTTGGAAGGGGAGTCCCCTTCCATTGTAACATCAGGCAGTGATGACTTTTCTGGGATACACTCTGGCATGTTTTGCCTGCATACCACTAGGACCTGCTTGTGGCTCACTTTTTGCTTGTCTTACTAAGAAGCTGTCTAAAAACACTTGGTTTTTCCCTACATTTTAACACTTGTCTGTAATAAGACAGCACATTGTCATTTAAAAGGTCAATGCAACTGCCTGCTACAGCTTTATCTAGGTGAGCTTTTTCAACAAAACTTTGCAGTTCTTCCCATACTTCACACATTTTCTTAACGAGGAAGGGATATCTTCTACTGCCTCAACTCGCAACTATTTTCTTAGGTTGAACCTTACCACTGACTTTCTGGGACCCATAGCATGATATATAATAATCCGTTTTATGTTCAAAAAGCAAAATATCACCACAAAAATGGAATTTCTTATAAGCATAATTGTCACTAAGCGGGCAGCTCTAGTAAACTGAGGCAGGTAGGCCCGCGTGACCGGGAACCACACGGTCAGTCAACCCAAATGTGTACCAACAAATATCGTAAGTCGAGTCGCATTTTTTTATGAAATTTACATAGTAACTCGAAATTATTGTAAGCCGGGGCAATCTTGAAATCGAGGTGCCACTGTAGTTATAAAGAAGTAAAAATAGAAATTGGTAAAATGTGAAAATAATTAAAGTAACAAGTTAGACCATGCTTACTCGCATGAAAACGTGTGTTTATACTAACTGTACTTCCCTAGTGCGAGTGTTCCTGCAAGTATGGTTGCTGTAATGTCCTTTTGGATACTCCCAAAAAGTATATACTGTACTTTCCTCTCTGTACCATATATCTTGGTTTACTGTAAAACATTTAAGATAGAAATGCAAGGTTTTCTTATAGCATTTATTACTAAAAGAACCAGAACAGTGCAAGTAGGGGGTAAAAAAGTGTGCTCGAAATTACTTATGCCGAGACATTGAAGTTCTCCGTGATCAAATACGGATCTTAAACGGATTATGAATTGACAGTTGGATAACAAAATTAGTCAGTTAATTAGTTGCATTGTACATTATTCCTCATTATGAGGTTGATTTTTGTGGTTACACTGCAACTTGCATGGTAAGATTAATTACCATGAAATAAGAAATAATAAGAAATCTTCAAATTCACTGAATAACTATAATTTCACATTTTGTGTTAAATACTGTACCAGAGATATACTCCTGTAGTATAGAATTACTTTGCCATGCTTGCTTTGTCCAAAGTGGATAAACTTGACTTTAAACTGGTTTTAGATATTCTATGCAATCGATTGCTTTGTTATATGTAGTAAAAAAAGTGACTGATTTTGTTAAATGGAAAATTATGCAGTTGCTAATAGTTGCAAATCCTTAACATCCATTTTAATTACTTGCTATATAATTTACTTGGTAGATACTTTTCATTGACTTGTATTTAGGTGTTCTTATTGTTTAATTGCAAAAAATAATACTGTAGTTGGCAACTCCTTTATTGCAAGATTTTCTTGAGGCCCCCCCCCCCCCAAAAAAAAAAAAAAAAAAAAAAACTAGGCTTTTAAAATTGCAATAAAAAGTCACATATAAAAATATATAGTATTTATATCTCACATCACATATAGTCACAAATAAAAAGTATTTACTAAAAAAATTTACACCAAATTGGTTTGGGGTCCTTTAAACTGTTATGTATATATTACCACATCACTAATATTCATTGCTCTTTTTGACAGGTGTGGTGGTACAATGGGTGCTGTTGCCACTTGCCCGCTAGAGGTAGTCAAAACACGACTACAGTCCTCCACATATGGGTACATGAGTGGTGCTTTACCTCCACCTGCAGCACGACAAGGGGGATCTACTACATGCTCCACAATATCCCATAATCAACATCGTGGTTGCAGCACACGCAGACTGTGCACCAGTGCTTTGAGATCTGGCACACAAGTTGTTCATCTTTCGCAACAGCTTCCTAATCCTCGAGGGCAACGTCATACGATGTCAATTTTACATTGTCTCAAGTAAGTTAGCCATTTTTTTGTTATAAAAGAATTTGGTCTTTTAAGTTAGCATAAAGTGAGTTCTTTTTTTTAAATGGGGAAAGGTAATAGCTGCGGGAAAGTGGCAGAATGTGTTAATGTTGATGACATGTTGGAAGGGGGATGAGGTGAGGAGACTAGCCATATTGTCCATTTGTATGGGAATTTGCCATTAACTATGCCATTAACAATTTAACTATGCATTTTTTTGGTCTTGTACGCTGTTGATAAAATCAAACGGCCGAGGAAATGCCTATGTAATGAAACCTACCACTGGTAGGTACAGTATTCAGTTGTAATTCTGTAATACTACCAAGAATTAAAACTATTTTTTTATGCATTATTAATAATAAATTATTATTATTAAGTACCCTCCATGTACATTGTGCACAATTTAATCTGTTCTTTAAATGTGAAAACGCCTTTTTAAATTGTACCAACAAATGTTAGTGTGCGAATGTAGCACATCACATTCCCATTAGTGTCTACCAAGGCATTATCAGGCAGACAATTTTGTCTGATTTTTAGTACTGTACCAAATAAATATTACTGGTACTAGAATTTACCACTAGAACACAAATGAAATGATCCCCCACAGTTGGCCATTTATCATGCTTGTGGCCTCTTGTGGCCAGGAGATAAGATGGCTGGTGTCATTATCTGAATTTTGTATGATAAGGGATAAAATTGCTTTATCTGCCCGTACTTGTGTTTAGAAGTGTATACAGTATAGCCTTTTTTGTCTCGACCTCGTATGTCCAAACAAGATCTGTAGTACAGTAGTTCAAGGGGATAATAAAAAAATTCCGACCCCGCTAGTCTTGGCAGATTAATGTTTCGGCTGTACAGACTTTGTCAAATGTATTTGAGAGGTAATCGAGGTGAAAGTGAGGTACACAAGTAATTTTACCAAATTAAAGCTTCATAAATAAGAATTACAGCGTAGAGAATAGCACTGTTAAATCTTGTTTATTCTTGTTGTTGGTTGTATATTTGATGACTGCAGATATTAGTTTAGCAGATGCTAGTTTAACTTAATGCTGTGTATTGTTCCTGTACTTTTCATTAATATCTGCATTGGAAATTTTATATTTGGTCTCATTTCGGTATAATTTGACAACCCATTCTCCTATTTAGATAGTACTTTTTTTTTTTTTTAACTATGGACCATTCATTTGTACATGTATTGACACAATGGACAATTAGAAGTTGGTACTAATCACTTTAATAGTCTGAAAAAATAAAGCTAAAAACCAAACATAAATATTTAGAGGCCTAGTATAGCACGTGCAGCGCTGTAAATGTACTACTGTATATTAAACATTAGATAGTGTGTATTAGGCCTAGGAAGGTAGGTTCTTTTCTTTTGAAATGTGTGTGTGTGTGTGTGTGTGTACTCGCCTACTTGTGCTTGCGGGGGGGGGGGGGGGGGGGGGGGTGTGAGCTTTGGCTCTTTGGTCCCGCCTGTCAACTGTCAATCAACTGGTGTACAGATTCCTGAGCCTACTGGGCTCTATCATATCTACATTTAAAACTGTGTATGGAGTCAGCCTCCACCACATCACTGCCTAATGCATTCCATTCGTTAACTACTCTGACACTGAAAAAGTTCGTGTGTGTGTGTGTGTGCGCGCGCTCTCCCCTAGTTGAATAAGCCTTGTTGTGCTTCCGAGGGTGAGGCTTCGGCTCTTTGGTTCCCCCTCTCAACTGTCAATCAACTGGTGTACAGGTTCCTGAGCCTATTGGGCTCTATCATATCTACATTTGGAACTGTGTATGGAGTTAGCCTCCTCCACATCACTGCCTATTGCATTCCACTTGCTACCCTGATACTGAAAGTTCTAATTGTCTGTGGCTCATTTGAGTACCAAGTTTCCACAAGTGTCCCACCCTTTTGTGTGTTTTGCCCATGCTAAATAAGGTCTGTCCACCCTGTCGGTTCCTCTGAGAATTTTTTAGGTGGTAATTATGTCTCCCCTAACATATGTTGGTGTGTGTGGTTTTTTTTTTTGTGTGTGCGAGTGAAGATCATGAATAATGCATGGGATGTAATGGTAAATGGGAAAACTGTAATGATAATCGGTTAGATAATTTGATTATTGAATTCTGCATGTAACTAAACTTGATGATAATTTAAACAAAATCATTGGATGGAAAGAGTGGGATCTTTCATGGAAAATATTTCCACACCTTATTGTTAAAAGGGTTATTTATTGTTATTTTCTACAAAATAAAAAATACAAAATAGGGTAAAAAAGGAGACGTCTAAAATGTCAAACTTGACTGGCAGTCGATTACACTGGCAGTCAGATATTGGGTATCATTACCCAATATCTCACGTGCTTGGAGTTGGGAGATAGATTATGTACAAGAAATTGAATTTCCTTCCATTGATAATTACAGTATATTGACTGCATTGAATGCATTTTCTTAACTTTGATTAAAAGCCTTTATCTCTTATTCCTACACAGATACATAGTTGAAGTTGAGGGACCACGGGCATTATTCCGAGGTCTTGGTCCCAACCTGGTTGGGGTTGCCCCCTCTCGGGCAATTTACTTCTGTTCCTACTCTCAGATGAAGAAAATCCTCAACCACCATGTGAACAAACCCGAATCTCCGATTGTGCACATCATGTCAGCATCCTGGGCTGGTGAGTACAGTTTGCTCATTTTCATTTTTGCGAGTGCAACTTGTCGACCTCGTTGAAATACTAGTATTGTATCGGGGAGCCTGTGTTAGTGTGTAGGTGGGGTGTTAGTGTTGGAACAATTTATTATTTTATTTCTAATTTATATTTAATAAATCTGGCCAAATTTTAACTTTTATCATTCTAGATATCTAAATAACTTGATCTATGGTGGTTTGGTCATTTAAAATTTGCAAGTGCTGCATATGGTTTGAATATTGGTACATTTCTAAAATTGAAGTTGCACAAAGTGACGTACAACTACGGTAGTTGGGGCACGTGGTTTGTTCAGTGAGGTTGTTTTAGCATATGATACCCAATTACTACTGTCATGATGCTCCTTTGCAAGTGAAATCTTGGATTGGTTGGGAAAAATAATTATCTGCATACTACTGAGTAAACAATTGGCCACTATCACCAGTCTCTCTCTCACTCTCTCTCACTCTCTCACACTCTCTCACACACTCACTCTTTCACACACTCACTCTACATGGCAGCATCCTGAATGTCAACATGGTCTAGACTCTCTGCTCAACTCTTACAGTGCTTTGCTTGTTTGTGTTATGGCTTCAGATTCCTTAAGTTTTAGTAGTGGTAGTAAGTTCTTTGAACTTGCTGACCATTCTGACAAGTGTGTGACCATTGTTGGTTGTGAAAAGCTTTGCAACTTGTGATGTTGATAGTCAGTCGAGGGCTCGAACACTTTTAATACCTAATAGGTGCTGCTAGTTTGTGCCATTAGCTGCCGTAGCAGTCTTCGCTCTTCATGGGAGAGGCTATAAAGTTGTTCATTGTTAGTTTTTAACACTTTGCTCCCATATGAACTCTACACTGCTCAATATGAGTTTGGTTCCTCTGCTGTTTTCAGATCGCACACAATTTTTCACTCTTGACTGGCAGCCAATTGTTGTTTTCAGCAAGTATGGGCAGTTCTGCCAGGCTTGGTCTTTGGACCAGAAGGCAGGGTGGGCCTGATCTGGTATTGGGAGATTTGGGCAGGATATATCCCATAGCGGCTGTCAGCCCTTTCACTGTTTACCCCAGTGACAGTGCTGTATTGTGGGGATGCTGTCTGTAAAATTTTTGGCAGGCTTTGCCCAGAGATGTTTTGGGTATACAGGTACTGGGTAGTTTCTAAAGTTGTTTTGCAGACTTTGCTTCCTTCTGCTTTTAGTGTTCATGGGTTTTCCAAATACAATGCACTCATCTTGACATGATTTGTTGTTTGATCTCTGCTGGTATCTCCCACTTTTCTCAATGATGGACTGTGCCTACACTTCAGTCAATTCTCATTCTGTCCTACATTTCTGATGGACCACTGTTAGGCTTGACTCGTTTCACTGGGCTTCAAGGATGCTTATTGGCAAAATTTTTTATCACAAGTTCTTTGACAGTCTTTTAACCTAAGTTTCTCATTACTTTGCCATGCCATTGCAAAGTTCTTCACTCTAGCTTCTTTAATGTATATAGTTTTGCAGCAGACGTAAATAGTAAAACAAGAATATCATAGAACATTGCCTATGTTTCCTGTTTAAAGTTTTAAACATTCTTAAACACTGTATTGCACTTCCTAAGATGGATACTAATGCTTATACAGTATTCTGTAATGGAATGTGATTGTAACTTGGATCCTTTAGAATAAAATCTTAACCTAACACCAGTTTACTTAGTCATTATACTCTGTTAAACTAAGTAAATATAATTTTATAAGATTACAATAATATGACTTGTCTTCATATGCACATGGGTACAAGTCTGTCTGTTTCACCACTGATCCATGGGGATCTGTTAGACATTGTATTGGAATGTTTGTTCTTTGTATGACAACCTCCTGAAGTGAATGAATAATTAGTGGGAAAAAAAGACTGCGAATGTGAAGTTTGTTCCGACTCTTGGGTGATGGTGAGAATTTATCGCGTTATAACGGGTGTAATTGGGTAGTATATTAGGTTGTCGAAATAAATGTATAGTGAAATTATAATTTGATAGTGTCCGAGGAAATTAAGCAGTTGGTGCTGAGCATATGGGTTGAATGCTCCCTTCTATTCATTAATTGATAGTATTTTTATTACTTTCTAGTAGACTATCAATTTAACTTGAGAAATGCGGTTGAGGACCACAGAAAATTACAGTAGTGATGGTAAATAGGACTGAAATACATACCATATTCTAAGAGTTGAAAGATATTTTCTAGTTTAATAAAGAAAATGCAAGAAAGGGATGTGTGACACTTGACTAGCAGAGTGCTTCCTATTTGTCTACTTTCATGGATATTTGGTGTACCATTTGTTTCTTACTATATTTTTGGGCAATTTCCATGCACTAAGATTTTATTGACAATCCTAGTTAATTGATAAGATTTGTTTTGTATTTGGCTTGGGAAAGGTAGAGTAAACATGTCAATGCTTTAAAAGTCAAAATAGCTGTGCTTGCTAGATTTCCACAATTTCTTCAGCAGTCGTGGTCTGGCCCGACTACGTATTCCAATGCACAAAGAAATCGCATTCACGTGATGTATTGATGAGGAAATCGGTAAGACCTAGGAGGAGGATTTGAACCTATACACTGGGCAACCATTTGGAGACCACTACACCATGACATGGTCAAAAGCATTGCAAACTGGGATCAAACTGAATCCTCGAGGGTTCCTGTGGCTCCCACTGATACCTAATTGGGGTTTAATACAATGTCCCCATGCACTTTGGCTTTGGAGGAATGGTGCCCAACCACTTGGATGGTCAGGGATTGAACGCCGACCTGCATAAAGTGAGACCGTCGCTCTACCGTCCAGCCCATATTCAAGCTAATATGCAGGATATGCTGCACATCTGTGGGTCATCAAATAAGTTAGATGAGTAAATAAGTAATTATCAAAAGAAGGCACCAAACCGGGAAGGCTATGTAGCACCATCAAATGTGCAGAATAATCGGAGGGCGCTAAATATTGCCAAGGATGCCAATACGAGAACAAAAATGCATAAGGCGAACGATGTCAAAAGTATCCGAATCACCAAGAATTCTGACGGGAAACATCTCCCGTCACGCAGGGTGCAGTCGCACCTCCACAGATCTCCAGTATCAGCTCTTGATACTGGTAATGGCTCAAAAGGGCCACCACTTACGGGCTATTCATGCCCGTGCCACTTTTTTGGGTAGCTTAATCTTCACCAATCAATCAAGAATTCTATTGAGGGACAGGTGACCGCGAGGGGCGGTCGGAAAGCAAGACACACGCTCATCCTGGAAGTCAGGACATTCAAGAAGGATATGCACGACCGTAAGAGGGACAATGCAATTAGGACAATAAGGAGCAGGGCGACACACCATCAAGTGACCATGAGTTAAGGGAGTATGGCCAATACGCAACTTCGCCAGAACCGTTTCCCATCGCCGGTTATAAGTTAGATGAACTTCTAAATGTTACAAGCAAGCCTTAATCTAAACTGTGTCGGCCGAGTACCTGTGGTGGCCCAGCTGCTGCTTCTCACGTAGACCAGACCAACAATAAAATGTTAACAAAGCTAACATTTTATTGTTCATTTATTTATTCATTACTCACACCCTCCGTCACGGTGATGGAGTGCAAAAAGATGTGCGAATTCGGAGAATTCTCCAACACATATTTCAATTTTGTTTAAATATTTAATTCAAAATGATCTAGTAGAAATTTTAGCCAAATATCCCGTTTGCTAATTGTAGGAAGTAAATGTGGGGGATTGTAACCTTTCCACCGCTGCCCACTGGAGGGGGGGGGGGCCGGTGTGCAGGATCACCATATAAACCGTGACACTCAACTTGTATGTAAGTTGCTTAGCTTGGAGACCGCTTGCGGTTAATCTCGAACCCATTGCTGATGTAACAATATACTGTACAGTACATTAAATTTTGTAACTAGCTCATGAAGACTGTAATTTGCTTAGCTAAATAAATTTTGGGATTCAGGCCTTAGAGCCCATTATGCGCCTCTTGTAGCCCTTTCCACTATCGCCCACAAGATAAGAACATAAGAACATAGAACAAAGGTAACTGCAGAAGGCCTATTGGCCCATACGAGGCAGCTCCTATTCTGTAACCACCCAATCCCACTCATATACTTGTCCAACCCGCGCTTGAAACAATCGAGGGACACCACCTCCACCACGTTACGCGGCAATTGGTTCCACAAATCAACAACCCTGTTACTGAACCAGAATTTACCCAAGTCTTTCCTAAATACAAACTTATCCAATTTATACCCATTGTTTCGTGTTCTGTCTTGTGTTGATATTTTTAATACCCTATTAATATCCCCCCTGTTATGTCCATTCATCCACTTGTAAACCTCTATCATGTCACCCCTAACTCTTCGCCTTTCCAGTGAATGCAACTTAAGCTTTGTTAATCTTTCTTCATATGAAAGATTTCTAATTTGGGGAATTAACTTGGTCATCCTACGTTGGACACGTTCAAGTGAATTTATATCCATTCTATAATACGGCGACCAAAACTGAACTGCATAATCTAAATGGGGCCTAACCAGAGCAAGATATAGCTTAAGAACCACACCAGGTGTCTTGTTACTAACGCTTCGATTTATAAATTCCAGTGTCCTATTCGCCTTATTACGAACATTCATGCATTGATCCTTTTGTTTTAAATTCTTACTAATCATAACTCCCAGATCCCTTTCGCAATCTGACTTCGCAATCTCAACACCATCTAGCTCGTATCTTGTAACTCTATCATCATTACCTAGCCTCAGAACTTTACATTTATCAGCATTAAACTGCATTTGCCAATCCTTTGACCATTTCAAAACCCTATCTAGATCAACTTGAAGTGATAGTGAGTCCTCCTCCGAATTAATTTCCCTACCGATTTTCGTATCATCGGCAAATTTGCAAATGTTGCTACTCAAACCTGAATCTAAATCATTTATATATATTATAAACAACAGAGGTCCCAGGACAGAGCCCTGAGGTACT